TACGTACGTACGTACATACATACAATACATATTGTAGATTGCCCGAGGCCAACTCAAAGGTCTGAAAATCGCAGTTGTCCATGGTGTACTAAGGCTTGGACATCACTTTCAAGGTTTCCTGGTAACTAGTGGACCCTCGTAACCTAGTAGGTTCTGTTTTCGAACTCGGTTGACCTTGCCTTCAATCATTCCCAGCTGTGATGTCAATTTACAGTAGTTTGCTTGCCCTGGCTACTCGGAGAAACCAGCTAGCAAATTCTTTCTGAGCCCTGCTGAGATTACTATCTCTTTGCCTCACAGGCCGGCGTTGCGCTTTGGCTTTCTTCTCGTGGGGGAATGGTCCGTTTGCCACTCGCCGCTGTGATGCCTGGTTGGGGCTGGCGCGAAACGAAGCTGCGCTATGCTGCTGCTGCTACGAGGTTTGGGAGACCGTCTTTTTCCTGATGTGCTCGATTGTCCATCCCTTCGTACATCTATTGAATCTATTGGCAGAGCTGGACCTGGAAGAGCCCGTGCAGATTTACAACCAAGCTTGATCCGTCTCACGGGAAGGTGCAGTAGCAGAACTCTCCTACCTGCGCTCTTTTCCGACAATGAAACAACTGACGTTATGCAAACATGGCAGACTGCCTAAGCTCTCTGCACTCCAACCACTTCTACTTGACGAGTGGCTGGCTCGCGCCTGACAACGTCGGGCGGGGTCTACGTGCAGAAGTCTGCCAAGTTGCAGATCGGATCCAGCCAGTGGAATTGCGGTTCTCAGCAACCCATTGGACAATCGGGCTTGCATCGTACTCCTCAGAGGACCACTGAAAACACACACACACTTAGCCTCCATCAGAACCTTCCGTGGGGCCGTGGAAACCATGCTTGTCCATCTCGCTGCTGAGCGTCACTGAGGTCCACGTCCGCTTCACGCTGGACAGTCAACCTAGGAATGGCAATGATGGCAACGCACAGCCGGCAACTTATTGGCGAAATTGTGTCGTTCTTCCGCACCTACCTTGCGCAATTGCTCATTGAGGACAAACCCGGCTCAAGAAGGCTTGGAGATCGCAAACCACAACGAAATCGACGCACGGAATCTCCAATTTCTGCAAGCTCGCTCGAAAGTGAGGTCCAGGCCCCTGAAGGCTGCATGCAACCAGCACTGCCCGAAATCGCACCCCTGTCGCCGCTGCCTGACCTCTGAGCGGGACGTGCAGGATGTCGCGGCAAAACAGTTCCAACGAGCAAGTCTGCCACAAGCTCTTGCAAAGTCTCAACTTTGGCTTGCGACCTTCATTACCCTAAGCCCTAAACCTGACTACTGCGGAATGCTGGAAAGGTAGCCTACAGCTATAAGACACCATAAGCCCAAAACTACAAAACGTCGCGAGCGCTTTCCGTGACAGAAATCAACTCGCGACCATTGCTGCAGTTTCGGAGTATATGCTGGAACAAGAAGGGGCTTCCGCGGCTCGCTAATTGAATCTCAAAGCGTCGGCAGGCTTTGGCAAAGGTGGGGTCGTGATGGCTCGAAGGCCGCACCATGCCATGGAGGTCACCCCGCTGCACCACGAAAATCACAGTGCCTTCGGATGGGGATTCGGGTTCTATGATAGGGTCCCTTTAAGTGTACTGTAGGGTTACACCCAACTCTCTCTCTCTCGCTCTCTCTCTGCATATATGTATGTGTAAATATGCACCTGTGTAGACGTCGATGCATACTACATATGCTCATATTTTTTATATGAAGACAGCAACTATTCATACTTCTCCTTTTTATCCATGTATGTACCACTGCATTAATGTGCGAATAGGGTTTGGACCAATGCCCAAACCTTGGGTTTTAAGGCACGTTCCAGCGCAGCGATTCAGAATTGAAATCTACAACCCGTAGCCGTAACTGAAAGCACATAACTCGGTTTGAGTTTAGGCATGCTGCAAACTCGGCACTTTGATGCCCTTCTTGAGTGACAAACCTGGTGAAATGGTGAGGAAGCGGTCGTTGCAGTGACAGGCAGTCGAACAGCTAGCATGGCGTGGTGATAGTAAGCCGAGGCCTTTTCGGATGGGAGTTTTCGTTTTACCACTGTCGCCAAGATGCACTGGGAGCCGGCTTGTGCCAAAGCTGCCAGCTCCGTGACGTGTCGGCTGGCCCTTGACGACACGGAGTCCGGGAAGTAGCCTGTACAAAGATCGGTCAGTGAGGCAGGTCACAAGAAACTTCAATTCGTGCACACTGTACTTGCCCGAACTTGAATCACGAACGGACGTGGAAACCTTCCAGAAGGCGAAGTTTAAGGCTACCATGGAGCTCGAACCCGTACACTTTCGGGCAGTTGCTTTCAAGTGGCCATGCCCGTCAGGGTAGACCATGTGGCAGTTCTTGGCTTCCTTAACTTGTCGCAAGCTTAAACAAGGAGGCGATGCCGAGACGCAGCGGCAACTCGATGTCCCAACGCTTGAGACTTGAGCTTGCACTTTGCGGCGCTTCTCGACGAAATACCGAAAGCTCATGTACTGGCAGATCTTTAAAGATGAGAACTGCACTCAGGTTTCGTTTCGAAACGCACACATTGTAGGGAAAGATGAATACCAGGTCTGTCGCTGTAGCTGCGCGTCCGCGGCGTCGCAAGGCCTAATTGCAGCTCAGTTGCTATGTAGTGATCTCCTGAGCATCAGGAGCTTTGGTACTCTGCCCGAACCAGCGCCCGACAATCTAAACGTGGGGGAATATTCAACATGACAACATGACTACTTCCACCTAACACGTCGAGAACCCGAAAACCACAGGAACTTACAAGCCCCATCAGACCGATTTCAGGTAAGACGCCACCTTCAGGTGTGCGCAGCCAGAAATCAAGCCGCGACTCCACTGGCCTCCAAGCGTGCACAAACAGGCTAGAAGCCCATCCTGAGTGCATCACAAATACATAAACCACATGACCAAACATGTGCAGAATGATAACAGCATACCCCTAAGCTATCATGCATCAGCAGTGAACATGGCATACCACGTCAATGTGCAGCCCCTGCCTCTTGCGCTTCTTCTGTTGTCGAGGCCTTGGGATGCAGACATGGGAAAGAGTCAACATCGTTCAGAGTTGAACGCTCTGCTTCGTGTCAGCTTGGGCAACTCGTGCTCCTTGTGGCACTATCCCGTGATGTCCAATCTACTGGCAAAGCTCCCCGTCTTACCTCGCTACTTCCACTAAGCCCTCGACGTCAGCTCTTTGGTATCTGCCTGTCAGGCTTGAGGAAAAGAAAATAAAACAGCCAAAATTCTCTGAAGATGGACAGACGAGTGTGCAAAGGTAACTGTGTATATACATATATATATATATACGTATACGCAAACAGACATGCAGCTAATAACCCGAAGATCAAGGTCGGGAGGAGGAGATGCAGAAATGCAGGCCCAAAAAACCTCCCTCAAACTAATATGTACAGGAACAAGCAGGCAGGCAGGGACTCAGTAAGCTGCAGGATCCCAGGAGTCCCCCAGCCCACTGATGCGCACCCGACCGCGGGACGGAGCTAATAAATTCCCAAACCAATCAGCCAGTAAACACACATTCATTCATACATGCATGTTTGCATACATACATATCTAGAAATATGCGTGAACATATGTGTTATATTCTACTCTACTCTACTCTACACTTTGCTATACTATACTGTGCTGTACTGTACTGGGCAATACTATACAATGCTACATCATATTAGACTCCACTCTAGAATTTTCTAGAATACTGCGCTATACTATACTATACCATACCGCCCCTCAGATGCCATGCTATGCTATACAGTACTTTGTTATACGTTAGCCTCCTCTACTATACTAAATGCACTGCACTGCCCTACTAATATACATACCCGCACACACACACACACTCACAAATGCCTGCATGCATACAGACAGCACACGGACAAGGTGCATGCCAAAAACAATGTGTGTGTGTATATAAACATATATATATATGTTATTATATATATATGTATAATGTAAGTGAGAATGAGAGAGAGGCGAGGGAGAGAGAGGCAGACAGAGAGTGAGCGAGCGAGAGCGAGAGGACGAGGGAGAGAGACACAGAGCGAGGGAGGAGCCAATTCCTGGTCTCGTAAAGTTTTTCAGGATGCAGCTTGCTACGGCACTCCAGCTTCCGAAGAATTATGAGACGTCTGTGGATCCCCGTAGATTGGATATCTTATGCACGAGCCACTCGAGGCACGAAAAAGACACCTTTTGGCGCAAGTGGTGGTTCTGCGCCTGTGGGCATGCGCCGGCCGACGCGGGAAGATGGCCGTCAGCATCGTCAGTCCTTGGTATACGGATACTATGTGCTGTAGAACTTACGGGGTCAATTCCACAATTAATAGCTAAAGGGCTGTGGCAAGCTTACCCCGGAGTCTTTGACACCGAACCTGCGTGTAGGCCGTAAGATGCAAGAGCTGCCAGGCACTCCAGCTAGTTGCTGGGCTCATGCTGGTTTGGCTGCGGCTTTCCTTTTACACGCCCGACCTCACGAAGGTACACTGCTTTGGGGCGACTTCGAGCAAGCTCTAGACAGATAGGAGTAGTTCCAGAATTCTAGACGAGTGCAATCGCTGAGGCTCGAAGAGATCGATTCGATGCTATTCTGGACCTACATGCAGCCAAGGGATCGGACTGATGTGCGAGAGGCTCTTCTCGCTCTTCATTTCCACCCAATCGTCGAGTCCTCCACCCGTAGGTCGTCTTGCGCAAGTAACAACTACTTTCAAGCAGGTAGGCATGGTGCCTGGGAGAGGGGACAGCACTGACTAGTGGCCCTTCTTCTACCTTGCCTGCCCAAGTCATGACTCAGACCATCTCAAATTGCGGACCCTCGTTGCAAAACAGGTCGTATCTCCGTGCGTGCCATTCTGCAAGAGATCACGCCTGGGAGTAGCCGCTTCCGAAGCAGCTCTCCCACGACCAAGTTGGGCCTGCAAGGGGCTGATGCGGGTGTCGATTTTTTCGCTTTTTTCTCAAGGCTGCTACAGGTGTACTGATTGACCTTCATGCTCTCCGATGTTCTTCGATGCTTCTCTTGTCAAAAACGCATTGGCCGTTCCAGCAGAGGTCGATTGACTGTCGCTTGTAGGCAAGCTGAGAAGTGGAGGGCATGGCTCGCTCACTCCCCGGGCAGCGGGATCCAACAGAAAGAGCCTCTGGGTGTTGGTCCCACAGAGAACCCCGTTGTGGTCAATGAGCTCCCAGGTCCAGCGTAGCCGACGCTTCGGTGCCGATGTTCCTCGAAAGAAAGCAAACCCCGCACCCACGGGACCGAAGCCCTAAACGGCCCTAAAAAGCTCAGACCCTTTAGAACAAGGAAGGTGTTAAACACAACTCCATGCCTTGCCCCGCAGCAGCTTCGGCCAGCCAGACAGAAGCCTCGCTTCGGCTGAAGGCCTCCATGCCTTGACTAACACGGGAGCAGAAGCCTACAGCAGCAAAGCAAGAACTTAACAATGAACTTATGCATAGGGCCCGCGGCAGCAACTCAAGGCAGCGCGGAGCTAAAGGGCTTGTGAATTCTTGTCTGATCTGCTTCTGTGCATATTAACTCTGGTAGACTCTGCACTTGGTTGCTCCTGCAGATCATGCCGAAGATTGAGCAAATCAGAGCACTGCCGAAGTGACTATCCGTCGAAGCCAAACAGTGACATGGCACGGCCAGGATTGACGCAGTAGGCGACATCTATGGCCCCTGACTCCAGGCGAACATCCTTGGGCTCTCATCTGGGCTCATCTGGCTGTGTGACTCGCAACAGATTCAAGTCAAGGGCAGCTGGAAAGGATGCTTCACTACTCGCATCGCTGCTGGTACTGGGACATACTGGGCCCGAGGCTGCCAGAAACCGGTCCCGACGCTGCAGCAGCGTCGCAGGCGTCAATGGTGGGAATGGCAGGAACAACATCTGTAAGTCTGTAAGCTTCCATCTGGGCACATCTTGGATTATGATTCAGACTCAGACTCCAACATAAGAAGGACGACCGTTAAGGGTGGCTGTCTTATGAAGCTTCGCAGCGTTTTTTGTCGAAGCTGTTCTGGCTCCATTGTTTCAGGCTGCTTTCAGCCCGGTGCCAGCATGTCTGAGCCATTCTTACCGTCAGCATACACACATCAAGGCGCAAGCTTCCCATCCGTAGCCGGGACGAGAAAGCTGTCCAACGGTCTTCACGAGTGCACTTGAACATACTTGAACAGCTGTGTGCCCTGGCCTGCCCATGCAACTCTCCTCCGGCCGCCTGAGCTCAAGGGCTCTTGCTTTCGGAACAGCCAAGAGCTCTCTCTGTGCATCTCTCTCTACACTCGGACTTTCCTGGCGCCCGCGTTTCGAGGCCGCCGCTGCTGTGCCGCGCGCACGCGCCGCCACGCAGCCAAAGCCGAGTCGAAGTCACCGGCCTCAAAGACCTGTCGTGCGCGCGCGCGCGTGAGGCTCTTGGGTCCTATAGGCCATGCTTCAAGGCAGAATTGGGTCCTTTGAAAGCTAAGCCGTGCTAGGCCCCAAGCTTTAACAAAAAAGGCCATGCCACACGTTGGCAAGCCTCCCTGAAACCAAGCTTGCATTGTCCACTGTTGAAGAATCCCAACTCCGTAAGATCTACGGCTGGCCATGCTCCTGCGATTTCCTGAGTCTTCTCAGCACCTACGTTTCACGAGTTAGCATCGGACTGCGTCATGCACGCACACACAGGTAAGAAGACGATTGCCGCTCCTATGAAGTCGCTTGATGAAAATAGATCGTGCGTCCAGACTCGTTGAGAGGATCGGGACAACAGATGACCCCCAAGAACGTCTGGTGGGACGTGGAAACACAGCGGCGAATAGCTTGAAGGCGTCACGACTCTGCTGCTGTCCATTGTGAGGCGATGCTCTCAGAACCTTCCGTCAAGGTTGCTATCGGCTACGTCAAACTCGGAGAGAAGGACCGGGCTCAGGAGGACGTGCCGGAAGATCGCGCAAGCCACCTGGCTCAGGAACTCTCAGCCGAAATACTGCGAAGTGTGGATAACCTTCTGGCAGGCTAGAACGTGCAGGCAAGAACTACCGGCCTGGAAGGTGATCCCGCTGCGGGGAATGGCCTGAGGCCGAGGCATGGCTGGCAAGGGCACGAAGGAAGGTCCAGTCAGGAGACAGGAAAGACTCAGAGGTGGCGGTGCAAGCAGTCCTCGATTTCCGCCATTGCCGTTCGGACCTCAGAGCATGGGAGTCTTGGGTTGCTCGGCAGCTCTGCCTGTGGTGATCTCCCTGGAGTTGTGGGCTGGGTCTCGGCTTGGTTTGAGGCTGCTTCCATAAAGTGCCAAGGAGCACGATGCTCAAACAGCCCGCTGCCTGCAGCCACTCGCTGCCGTATGGAAGCCTCGAGAGGACATGACGAAACGACTCGAAATCTGCATGCAGCAACACGACCAAAGTTCGTCATGCAGCGAGACTAGGTCTACTGGGCAGGTCCTGCATCAGCACAGAGCTTCTATACACCTGCTTGAGGACCGGCTTGTTGACGACCTCTATTCTTTTTCATGCTCGTCCCCATGCTCCGAGTTTCTAACAACAGCAATATGAGGATCCCAAGATTTCCGCGAGCAACGTCGCGCCAGACTGCACAAGCACCTCTAGCGTAGCCAATTGCTTGTGAACTTCCGAAGACACCCACACACTCACATCTGCCATGGAAGCCTTGCTAGGAACACGACAAGCAGCCCACGCGCACTGCTGCAGAAAAATATAATTCGCTCTGTCTGGTATCTCTACACAAGCTGCCATCGCAACCCTTCTTCCATGCTGGATGACTGCGCAGCATTGTCTCCCTTCCGAACCTCCTGACCTCTGCTCGATATTCCGAATCCAAAACCGTACCGCTTGAATCGATTCTGAAGCGAGCTACCTGCATTCACTTTCCACACAACCCAGGGCCCCGGCCAAGCATGTCAGATCATGCTGAGCTTCCAAAAGGGAGGATCTTGGCCGAGCCTCTCCAGGAATTTCAAAGAAGAGATGGCTGTTGGCGCACCGGTGCTTGGTCTTATCAGTATGATCTTTCGGAATGTCCGATGCTGACGCAGCCGAACCCTGCGAAGCGCCTGCAGTCGCAGATTGCTAAAGCTGATGCAGGCGCGGTACTTCGTACCACCTCGAGGGGGCTCGGCAAAAGCGCATGCGGAAGCTTCAGGGTCTGCTCCCTTGATCACTGATCCTGGAACACAGACAAACGCTGGTGACATACTGCGAAGTATTCGGGCTTTGAATCCCTCGACCTGCGCAGAAACTAGGTGGAGTCGCGGCCTCCCTGCCGGTCAATCTTGCAAAGTCTTGCTTAGCGCAGGCTTTACATGAAACCACTTCGCTCGGCTACCCGAACAGAGCATCTGTATAGACACAAGATATGAAGTGCCCCTTGTTCCAGAGCCCCCTCCGCGTTTCGACGCCCTGGAAGTGCCTGGACCACCAAAACCGCCTGGATACTTCGGAGCGGATGAACCAAACATCCGGCTCAAGCCCCATGTGGCCCACGCCCGAAGGCCTCGAGCGTGACGGCAAAATATGCCATGCTCTGTGGCCTGCCGGTATTGGGATTCGGGCGGGATAGCAGGGCAAACGTGCACTGGATTGCTACTCTACGAAAATCGACGGAACACCCTCGTCCCTCAGAATTCTTGGGTCACCGACAGCATCCAAGCCACAGCCTTGCCTTAACCGCCTGCTCCCGGCGCGTGGCCCGCGCTCTCTTGCGCGGCACGAGTGGTCTTGGCGATATAGCTTGAAGGGTTGGGCGAGGGATAGCAAGGAGTCGAGGATAAGGGCTTGCGTTGAAGATTCAGGAAAGCTTTGGCAAAGTCCCTCATGCTGGAGCGGCGTCGTTGGGTGGTCCGGCACAAGTTACAGGCTTGAAAGCCTTCAAGGCACTCGCAAAAGAAGTCGGCAAGAGCAGTCGCACCCACAGCGCGCCCTCTCTTTCTTGCATCATCGCGCAACGATTGGCTTCGCCGACAATCTTCGTCAACGTTACGCAAGCAGCTGTCTGAGGCTATCTCGAAAGCTCCTAGCCTTCGATCTGTCTCACAGCCCTGCACGAGACGGGGATCCCTAATTTCAGTTGTGTGCAGGCCCTTTCGCAGGCAGCCCATCAAGAATGGGATTGAACCATCATCCTGACGGCTGCCTGTTAAAAGAGCAATCTTCCATGCGTCAGCGATTTGCCTGACCGTAGTAAAAGGAAACCTCACCGGACGAACGGTGTCAGGATATAGTGAAACGCAGCAAGGCGAAGGCAACATGCCGCAAGCGGGAAACGCGGGATACAAGGTCAAAAGCAAAACAATAAACTACACACGCTTCAATGGCAACCAGAGTTCTATTGAAGGACCCTGCTGATGGGCTGTAACATGCCTCCGCTGCCAAAAAATGGAAGGTGGAAGCCAGCTGACCGTGCGTAAGTCGAACTGGCAATGGACGACTGGCGCTGTGCACATCTGTGCACTCACGGCCACATGTGACTCACAACGGGCTGGTCAAACATGCAGATCGGAAGACTTCATTGATGGCCCGACCAGAGTACATGGTGACCGACCGAACATGCTAGGGCTGCTAGGACCACGGTCCATCTGTTCATGCCCTCGACGACGGCAGAGTCTGCCTTCTAAGACACCGCGCGACACAGGGGCAGAGAAAGGTGCTAGTGGTGCCGGCCTGTGGATCAGAATTATATTTGCTGAGATGCTGAGCAAGGTTCGCATGGTTCTACTCACAACTCTAGACTTCTCGCAACATTCCAAAGCCACTGCATGGGTTGAGTCGCTGAGACACGGCCGGCGGTTCAAAAGGTGACATTGTCTCGCAGAGCCTTCAGCTCCTGCAGGATCGAAGCCTTGCTGCGGCCCTCACAGTGACGCAGAGCTATCGAGAGGATGGCGGAGAAGTTCATGCGCCCAATCACCTGGCGCTTGGAGCCAGACTTGCAAGGCCTCCCCATTCTCATGTTCCTCCGTCCCGGCATGAGGCTATGTAGGAACACCCTGAAGTTCCTGAAGCCTCGAAAACATCAAGCCCAGCACTACTCGCAGTCTGCCCGGTTGTGGCACCTGACGCAAGTTGGAAAGCTTTCGAGACTTCGTCTGCGGGCTGCTTGGACGAGGTCCTGCTTGGACAGCCACGGCCTCGGCTGCGCCGCAGGGGACTAGCCAAAAACATGAACCGTTCTGCACCAGCGAGCAACTCACCTACGAGTACCATTTGTACCACGGTAAGTGCCATCTAATCGACCAAGGAGCCGCCACCACGAAACCCACGTCATGGAATCCATCTTGCTCGGCACGATCCCGAAGTAGCTCTGCGAGAAGGCCGAGTAGCTCTGCCCTAGGCATCGTGCTCATCAAGCGGCGCTGCTGCTTGTCGGGTTTGGGGTCATTCGTGCAACTGTGGTGATGGTGGCAGAACCCACAGGCCACACCTTTCTTGCAGTGTCCCTGCTTTGCCATGTAGATGCATGGGCGGCTGCACAGTCTTGGGTGTCCCACACTGCCACGGGTTGGCGCGGGTGCGTCGACGACTTTTGCATCCTGCCCCTGTTGCAGCGTGCGAAGATGAAGATGTGCCCAGGCATCTACGACAAGAGTCTCCGAGTTTGCCACGGATGACCTGATCGGGGGCAGGCTCCGAGCGCGGGTGCGCCGAGCCTCACCATCCGTCTTGCCATCCTCCGTCACGTCAATGAACGTAAATCGGTACCCGATTCGTGATTGTAATGATGCACCCTAGCATCTGTAGCAGAAGGGGTAGCACCATCGCGGCCAGAGTGAGGAGAGGAGGGACCTCTCCATGTCTCTCATGCATGAGACAGGCATTGCAACTGCACGCTACCTGAGGCCTATTCCTACAAAGGGAGGGGCATCAGGGGAAGGGCAGAGGAATTAGGGAAGACATCACGACTCAGCTGGGTGGTCGCCGATTTTGGCAATTTCAATCCCAAGGCGGCAAGCTGCAACTTGGCGTTGCGCCCTAATCAGCACGTTGCTGCCAGCGCTGTGAGTAATCCATCCGGATTTGCTTGTGATGCGAGGCTGGATGGCCCACCACCCAGGCGGAATGGAAAATTCACGGCCAAGCTGCCGACGCAGGTCTGCGAAGAGGGGGCACTCAGAGAAGTAGTGTCGGGCAGATGCAGCTGCATGGCCGCATCGGCATGCGAGCTGCGCGGGAGCACCCCGTTGCCAGTACCTTCGGGTCGGCGTTTTGACGGCGCCCCCGCGGAAAACACTGAGGAAAGCAGCATCTTGGCCCTGCAATCTCCGGCTCCACGTAGTGAAGGCCGGGTGGCTCTGGGCTTCGATGTCAACATCGCCGGCCCCTTGGGAATCGGCGCGCGTGGGTTTGATCCGCGAGAGGGCACGGACACGGGCGGTAACACGCAGGAGATGACCGTCGTCCCAGTCAGGACGGTAGCGCAAGGGATCGGCCTGATGCTGGGCAGCAAGCTGGGCGAAGGCTGCAACGAGTCGAGGGTCATCATGGGGGGGCAAGACCAGGTGGAAAGCCGGCGGCATGCCATACACAGAAAGGCCAAGAGTCGCGGCATGGTGCCGGACACAAGCGGAAACGACTGGTTCTGTTTTAGTGCAGGGCCGAGCGGCTGCGCGCAAGCAAGCCATGGCAGCGGCGAACACGGGGTGAGCAGTGATCGAGTCAGCCCAAACTCGACCAGCGCACCACCACGTGCACGACGAGGGGCGTAAGGCCCGGCGCCAAGAGGCAGTGAGGGACCCAGGGACTGCAGGAACGTAGGGAGCGGCCCAAGTAAGGCGAGGCAGGGCAAAGGTAAGCAGAAAGCGCTCGCGGGTGAGCGCAGTGCCAGGGGCAGCCGCAATCACATTAGCAAGGCGTTCAACATCGGCGGGTCCAGTGCGGGTTTCGGGGAGGCAGGTCTTCCTGGGCTTCACATGCAGGCCAAGATGTTCGACCCAGTTGGAGTCCGGGCCATCAGCAGCTGCAGTCCAAAGCTGACGCTTGCCTCGATGCTCAGTCAGACCAAGAAGGTCGTCAGACCAGGCGGTGAGGCGGAGGGCTTCTTCGAGGCCATCGCCTTCGGCGAGTTGGGAGAGACTCCGGTCGTCGGCGTACAGGTGGGCAACAACGCCAGGCACAGTGCTGACGAGCCGAGT